AAGGCTGAAAATTGTATAATCGTGTATGCATCAACTCACGCCAATATATAAACATATTAATTAGCTCACTCGATTGGAAAACAAGAAGTTTGTCACAGAAGTTTTCATCTCCAAGAAAGTAGCCTGAAGCAATGAAGAAGAGTGGCATACATTAATTATGTACCAGATTTAATACTTCTTGACTACAAACAAATCGAACATGAAAAATTAGAAAAAGAAAAGAAGACATATAAATATACTGTATATATGGATGTGTATAAAAATCTCAAACCTTTGTTGTAGTCCCAAAAAGCTGAATCAATTATTCTGAAACATCGATGGGATGCTTTCTAGCAGTAGCTCTAAATATTGGCGACATTGTATTAACACATTGCAATCACTCAACAAACTTTGTACATGAATGAAAAAATTAATATTTTGAAACACCTCCCCAGAAAAATAAAAATATATATTCAAAGAGGAGAGTATTGGAAAATGAGAATTGACATAAAACTGAAAGTAAAAACGTAACTAAATTACAATAAGAAAGAGCTAAAAATTTTGGCATATATTCCTGACCATTCCTAAGAGTACTTTTATATTTGTTGGTCAAAGATAAAAATGGGTTAAGATTTTTGGCTGGAAATTAGAAAATAGATGACATATATAAATAATTGATACACATAAGATATACGAAAAAAATAACCACCGAAACATATATATAATATCTTTTGGTAACACATTCATGGGTAGTAAGCCCTTACTTTTAAGTGTTCATGAGCTGCTTTGACAGTTTGCCATCTTTTTTCTTCTTCCAGTGATAGCCATTTTTTCGAAAATTCCATAGCTTCATATGGTCAAATATTATTGTCTTTATTATTATTATAGTTGTTGTTGTTGTTAAGAGAAGCTTGTTATGAATGAGGGGCTGATTTAAGTGGCTAATGGTTGAGAGTACAATTCCCATAGCCAATATGCCTATGAAATTAAAGTTCGGTATGACTCAAAAATTGCCTTAAAAGTTCGTTGGAGTGTGTTTCTTTCTTCTCGCATCCAAATTATTGCCCTTATTGCAAAGTTGATTAGCACTAACTTCGAATAGGGATTTTCAAAGAATGTGCCTCACCTTCGGGTTGCATTATTGGGGTCTAGCTGCTAATAGTCTGACTTGTTTGGCGAAATGGATTTTGGGTCACATGAATTAACTTATTTTTTGTTGTTGTGTGATAGCGTAGCGTTCTTTTACTCCCTCGGTCCAATAAAGATAAGTTTGGTTTTTTTTTCGTATGTCCCAAATTATAGGCTACTTTCGAGTATTGTTTATTTAAACTATTATTTAATGTACGGATATATTAGAAAAAAATGTAAGTAAAAATTTATATTTTCAACTATATTAATTATATTTTCTGAATCCGAGTAAAAATGGAAGCACGCTAATTTTTATGGGATGGAGGGAGTAGTAAAGATTGGGAAATGTTACTAAAATAATTTGCACCCAAGTTTACTGTATTAAATAATATCATAAATTGAATTCTTTTTCATTGATATCTTTTGTTCCTCCTTTTTTACTGTATGGTAATATGGCTTTGTCAATGATATGTAGAAATTCATTTTTTATTTAGCATTAATTTCGGTATTTTTTGGTGATTTCCAGCAAACAAGTCCGTTCTCAGTTCAAGGACTTTGAAGAGTATGTTGCTCAATCTCCTAGGTAAATGATTTCCTGGTTAGTAAGTTACAATTTTAGGAGATTCGATAGGTTGTTATTTCTTAATTAATGGATGAGTTTCTCATATATAGAAGGGGCTGTACACAAATTATTTTCGAGTGTGGAATAATAGTTCTTTCCCTCAACATGAACACTGAACACTGAAAATACAAGAATAAGCATAATATTTGATCAACTTCTGATGGGTTCTTGAGATAATGGAACGTGGAATCGACATACCTCAGTTCGCCGATCTCCTATTTGGCCGCAATTTCTCAATCTTTTCAACACCTAAACTAAATCAAACAGCGAAAAGAAACTCCTATTAACAGTAAACTCGAGAGAACTGTTAGAGTAAAATTGAGCTACGATTCGTATTTTAGAAGTTGACCTTTGAAACTCTTCTCCACAAAGGAAATACAGCGACGAAGTTAGGGTTGAAGAAGCAAAACGTACTAACAACTTCTTGGGAAGAAAGTGGTTCTGTAGCCCCAAGTTCTTACACTTTTCTTCTTGTTTATTGCTAACCTAAGGTAAATGGCAGAAACCAAAGTGAAGAAGCGTATGTGCGAAGATGACTATGGATGACTGAAATATCACTCTCCCAGTCAACAAGTGTGGCATGAGTTAAATATCTATATTACCCTTTTTTATCTTTGCCTGGGACCTCAATTTGTAAATTACTGATACAATATGATACAAGGGTAATAAAATAGGATTGAAGGATAAAATGGGAAAATGGAAATACTTCACAAATGAACAGTAAATAAATGGCATATTCATTCTTAGAGAGGAGGAAAAAAAATAAAAATGCGAGATGATCTCTCCACGCTGTGTGGAGAGATGCTGGACAGTACACACACACACACACACATTATTATTATTTTTTAAATGTTGCGATGGTAGTTTATATATATTAAATTTTTTTTATGCCATATATATTTATAGATGTTACGTAAAGGAATGGAGAAAAGAAGGGAAAATAGTACAACAATTTATAATCCATATAAATTATAAAGTGATAATAATTTTATTAGAAATTTTTACATCCAAAAAGAAAAATAATTGACGTCAAACAAATAACTTTTTTTTAAAGAAAATGATGTAAATTATATTAAGAAAATTATTGCGAAAAAATAATAAATATTAATAAAAATAATTTATTTTTTTTTAAGAAAAAAGATGAGAAATATACATTTTTTAATACACATATTTGATATACGTTTAACTATTTTCGATATTCATTTAGATCATTCGATGTGTCTATGATATCGTTTTTAAAATGAGTTTCGAGAAAATATAGAAGATTTATGGTAGATTTTTGTAAAAAACTAATAAATCACCCAGTGATAAAAAAAAAGAAAAAAAATGACACAAAAAGATATCAATAAAAAAAATTGACACGAAGCATTATTAAAAAAAAAATAAAAAATATTGTTGCACATGCTCTGTGCATCACAAAACATTTGCTTTGTGATGCATGGAGCACAATTGCTCCTAGCACCCACGGCAAAGGTCCTGGGTCCTGGGTGCCAAGAGCACAATTGCTCCGTGCATCACAGAGCAAATGCTTGGTAATGCACGGAGTATTTGTGCCGCAATAAATTTTTTTCCTTCCTCGGTGATTGATTTTTTTTATTTTTTTACAAATTTATTTTGCCCTTATAAGTTATAACGTGACACGGAGTATGTTGAATCATGTATATTGTTTATTTCTTAAAAGCAATTGCAATAAATCAAAGTAAAACTTAACACAAAGTTAAAAAAATTTAATACTCAGTCGAAAAGATGTCGATTAATTTATTTGATGATATTGAATATTTTAGATGTAAATAAATTTTAGAGGATTAAATTCAAATATATCAAAATTGGGTGATTAAGTAAAAATATCAACCCCATTTAAGTGACAAAATATTATACTGTGGCTCAGCTTGTATTTGCTCCATTAATTATTTAATTTTTATTTTTCTCTTTCTTATTTTCAATCGCAAAATCTTCTATAAAATAATATTACATGTAAATAAAAAACTTTTTATTAAATCGATTGAATATTGAACAATAAAAAAAGATTCGATAAATTACACGATTTAATTATATTGAATATAGTTACCATTAAATACGTCATTTATACGTAAAATAACCACTCAGACTAAAATAATATTTGATACACAAATTATGAGTTCCAATAATTTGAGTTTTTAATCTATGCATCAAAGGAACATTTATCTTATCCACAGAAAATACATTTCAATTATAGCAACATAAAATTGAGGTTAACTAATTTTTCATCTTGATTATTTTAACATCTGAAAAAATTTTATATATAAAAGAAATTCGATCATTTTTAAGAATTTTTCTCTTATCGTTACTTTTTCCTCTCAATCAATTAATTTTTTAAATAATCCAATAAATTTTTTGACGTCATTTAGAAAATTTCCTAATAAACTTTTAAAAAAAAAATTTAATGTCAAAAGAGATATCATTTAAAAAATTAAGAATTTCGATAACAAGCTAACTTTAAAAATTCATTAATGATTGTACATTAGTCGAATGCATAAATCTTCTATATTCTCTCGAAACTCATTTCGAGAACTATATCATAGACATATCGAATGATCTAAAAGAATGTCGAAAATAGTTAAACGTATATTAAACATGTGTGTCAAAAAATATGTGTAACTCGTCTTTTTTCTTAAAAAATCAATTATTTTATTAATGTTTATTATTTTTTCGCAACAATTTTCTCAATACAATTTACATCATTTTTAAAATATATATATATTATGTGGTACGACGTCAACTACTTTTTTTGGATGTAAAAATTCAAATCTGGCAAAACAGCAGCACCACACACGTTTAGAAAGACCATTGTAGTTATTTTAGGAGTGAAGTGAGATATTATGAGATATTCAAAGGTAAAATAGAAAAATATAAAATACGTCTTAAATGAATAGTGCTCTTTACATTTAATCTTTTATTGTAGTAGGGATGCAAGAATAATGAGATTGTTAATTTGTTCATCAGCATAACAA